CTAACTCTAGACCATGTTAGGGTAGAGGGCGAAGAAAGGATGGAACAACTCAAAATGCACTTCCAATTTGAGCTCTCCCACAGATGGAAAACTCTGAAACAAACGCTAGATAACCTCCACAGAGTCTCTGACGTCAGGGAGCGGCTACTACAGTTCTCAAGGGAATGGTTGGGTGGGGACCGGGGGGGCTGGGTAGCGGAAGTACATTGGTCAGGATCGTGGGAGGGAGAGGGGGGNGGAAGTACATTGGTCAGGATCGTGGGAGGGAGAGGGGGGGGGGGAGGGTGACCTCCAAGAACAAGTGCCTAGGGACTACCACCTTAAATTTAAGGAATGGCTGACTGTGGATCTCAATATCCCTATGCGTCCGGCAGAGGAATTCCCAGACCCGTTTCCCCCCCACCCATATGCCTTGGAAGTGTATTCCTGTAGCTGACTAACATATACAACACATATAAGATGCAATCAACTCCTGTTTTCCTGATGTAGTCATTCCTGCCTCCCTCTATCCTTCACGATCTTTCCCCCAATCCTGGTCCAAGTGGTGGCGCTGCCCTCCCCGCTGGCTCTGAACCGGGCTCTTTCATCCGAGCACAGATATGAGTTGATAGGAAAGCAAGTCTTTTTGTGCGGTTTCTGCCCCATCAACTCTGATCTGGCGTCGTTCTGTGTCACAGCCTGGGGGGACGATTCTAGGACAGGAATGACAAACATCATACAACTTTCTTTCGTGTCTAGACATCACTAGGTGTCAAAAATGGGGGTCGGATTCTTGCGGAGAGAGGATGGGCAAGGGTACGGAAGGAAACACCGGTGCCCCCCGGTGTTCCTCCCGGACCCCTGCCTGGACATAGGAAGGCGGATGGAGAATGAGGTCTTCCAGGCCTTCAGGTGAATCAGGCTGATATCGGGCGAAGCGGACCCTCAGGCATTCAAGGAAAACCGGTCCTTCAGCGGCACATGGTTACGCCCTGCAATTCAGCACTCCGTGCAGACGAACTCCTGGCGGAAGCTCTCATCGCCTGAAGATAGCATTCACCCTTTTATGAACAGCATACATCTCAGCCAATTTTTACCACAGCCTGCTCAGTGGCAGGCCTTGTTCTGGCCTTTTATTTCTGCTAATGACCTGCTCAGTCAATCCCCTGGAGTCCAGGGTTATCAATGCTGGCAGGGACCCATGAATTTGTTCTGATTTCAGTCTGTATAAGGTACGCTGGACCCGTTTTCCAGCAGGTGACGCTCCCCACCAATAGATGGAGCCTCTCCCCGACTGGTAGTGGTGTCTGCTCTTATCAGCATCACTACCATCGGCGGGGGTGTTCAAAAAAAAAAAAAAAAAAGAGGGGAGGAGGTAATCAGAATAGGGGGATAGACAATCAATTATGGCAAATCCCACATCACAGAATCAGCAGTGAGGCAGTTGAGCTGCCCCAAATGGCACTACTGTTCCTCCCATGGTGCCACGTGGTGAGTTTATAACACAACAAGTTGCGAAAACTAAAATATCAGTCACCGCGTGACAACCATTTCAACAGACATCATGCATGTCGGAATCGCCAATTATGCGTGTTAAATTCAAAACGCCAATTACATGTGGCGAGTAGTCTCATATCGAAGGGAGGGTCATTCTATTCCCATGTGGCGAAACTATGTAACCACATCCTATCCGCTAACCCACCCCTTCATCGCACCCCCACACAACCTTCCTGATTACCAAACATGCGATTCAACCATCCCACTTGCCCATCTCCCCAATGAAGATCCAACGAGCAGAAAGGAACCAGAAAGGAAAGATAGGGGGGGAGGGGAGGAAGAGAAACCCCAATCGGACGAAGGGGGGGAAGAGAAACCCCAATCGCATATGCCATACCGTACATATCGCCGTTATCATTCCTGTTGTTATTATTGTTGTCACCGGCCGCGTCAATATGATTGTTGTTGCTGATGTAATCGATATTTCTCCCCACCGCGCACAAACACGAAATCCCTCTTCCCCTGCCACTATCGTGCACAGTGTTGTCGTTGCAGATGCAGTCCTTGTTATATATATTGATGGCCCGTGCATATGTGAGCATCACGACAGCAGGCCTGTTGTTGTCGTTGTTGTCATGATTGTCATTATTGTCGTCATTGTTGTTGTTGTTGTTGTCGTTGTCACCGTTGTTGTTGTTGTTTTCGTTGTTGCAAGTGCCAGTGGTGTAGGCGAGATGAACGCCGTCTTTGATATTGCTGTTGTTGTCATCATCACTGGTGTTGTTGTTGTTATCGTCGATGAGATTATTGTTGACACAGCTGCCAGTCGTGCCTTCATCGTTGTCAGCATCGTCCTTGCTATCGTCCTGGTAGTCGTAATATCGGGCCTCCAGCACAGCGTTTAGAGCTTGCCCCTCCTCAAGCGTCGCATAGTAAACGATCCAGTCGTGGCCCGTCCGAAAACGCATCCAGGTGAGAGGGAGGCCCCTCCTCCAACCCCCATGATATCTCCACTAGGACCTGCATCACGCGCCGGAGCCACGAGATCGATGGGACCACCCCTGCAGCAACAGCCGATTGTAGCATCGCCACTGCCAGGCTGGACCACATGCTAGTCTCTTGGACAGTTGTAAGCCACTCGGCCGCTCCTATCTGAAAATCGCCCGACGTCGCCATCGACATCGCCACGCAGTTCGCGCCCACACTTGTTTTACCCCACGTCACCCACCCCTACACACCCTAGTCGTACCCCTCCTCACTGACCTCGCCCTTCACAAAAGGTACACAGATGACACGCCACGCGGCGCAGCACCGATCAGGTCGGAGGCCATGTCAGCAAACCACCCTGACATGTCGCGCAGGAAGCAGGTCGAGCCATGCCGACTGGTCCCCAGCGGGGGACCAAGGCGCAGGCGGTCGGTAACGCAGCGCTTGCGTTAGCTTTTTTTTTTTTTTTTTGATACTTGAGAAGAGTGATAACTGAGAAACTCGTTTCGTTACCAGGACGCACCCTCATTTTGACTGTACCAGGACATAAATATTGTCTGGATACAGTCATTACCAGGGTGCGTTATCCCTCTTCTCTTTTTTTTTTTTTTTTTTAATTATTATTTTTAATACAAAAAAACAACCTGAGGCAATGTTAGGGGTGCTGGTGAAAGCAAGCACCACTAGCACTCTCTGGGTGGGTCCATCTATTGGTGGGGGGCAGCACCTGCCCGGAAATGGGCCCGACGTCCCTTTATACACAAGGGTCCAAACTTGCACTGTTGCACTGTACTGCTTGACAATGGATACTGATCATTCAGTACCTCCTGAAAAGTCCAGTCTCGCAGTCACCTTCTTCCTGTCCAGTTTGAAACTGTTATTGACGGCGGGCGAACTGCTTCTAGGTTTGTTTTGGCGGCAGTTACCATCCTATTATATTGATCTTGCCTGTGCTATATTCCTAGAGTATTCTGTTCACCACTGTAGAAGGTTTCAGTTGCCTTTGGATGTCCGCCACCACAACGGGCTCAACTCTAACTGTGACTGAATGACATCAGATACAACATTATGGACTACTTGAAGTAGTAGAAGGCGTTTGTTGCTGATAGTTGTTCGCTGTTGTCGCCGCTACCAGTTGTTCTATGGTTCTCTTCCCGGCCCCTGTACCGATAGAGCAGCCACATTCGTAGAGATGAGGATGTCATGAAGCTGTGAGGATGTTATCACCATTATCCTTCCTTTGAGAATTGTCAGCATTTGCAGGCTCCTTGGTTTCCTTGGCTGGCCGGGTGACGGAGTGGGTGAGGGGAGCTGGTGGACTTGATCGTGGGGGAGAAGGTGTTGGGGGCGGATCCAGCCCCAGAGAGCGGAGGGGGTTGCAGTGGGGTGATAGGCAGAGGCCCCGACGGGANTCCATGAGGCAAAAGTCAAACTCATCGCATCTCAGTGTCATTCACGCCACGTGGCCATCTAATATCGCAATCTATTATTGTAAAAGACCGCAAGGAACATCCAAACAGCGCAGATCCAACACACCTGATCCCACCCCCCACCATACCCTGCCAGGCCTGCACTGCGGCCCCCTTATAGTTAACCACCCTTTATCCTTCCTATCCCACCCCCACTCATGCAGATTCCACATTCCCATAGTTGCATGCGAGACCTTCCCAACAGCACTGCCCCCAACCCTCCCCCCCGACCCCMCCCSAATCCCATGGCGAGATTTCCGTGACATTCCGCGCGCACCGAAAGTCCCAAACCATGCTGAGTATGCGCAAAACCATAGCCCTCCCCACAGCCTTACCTTCATCACCGGCGCTATGGCTGGCCTGGAAGCATACTCGAGGGCTGATATTCCCGTCGCCATATTTGTCCAAGATGTATTAATGTCTCCTACTTCCTATGTGTGTTCGTGAATCCATATATGTCAGATGATGGTAACACCCTGTCAATCAGATCTACAATTCTAAAAAAAAAAAGAACTAAGACATTATCCCCATCCCAACCACCAGACCAGGAGACGAGACCCTAGTTTTAATATGACGTGATATGATATGATGTGATGTATCAGCTGGAAATCGGGGCCAGCGCCCCTATGCAGAGATGTGTTGATACCTCCACTTCCTACGTATATTCGTTAATCAGTATATGTCAGACGATGGTAGAACCCTATCCATCCAGTCTATAGATTCTCAAAACAAAGTACGGGATCAGTCCCACTCCTATCTATCAGGCCAGGAGACGAAACCCTAGCTTTGATACTACGTGCAGCTGGAAATCGGGTCCAGCGTCCCTAATCAGTGATATGCGGAAATCTCATTGTGATGTGTATGAGCTGGAATTTGAGACCAGCCTTCCTATTATATGTTCGCAACTACATCTAAAAAAAAAAAGAGCCGTACATCTCAGAAAAAGAGCCAAGGCATTGATTACTTCCCTGCGTAAGGGAAGGATTGACCTCCAACTCTAATGTACCCTAATTGCCTTGTAGGGTGACGTGGCACAATTCCTCCAGAAGACAGCAATCCTACCGATCCCTCGGCCATTACGCACCCCACCCACTGAGACAGCCCATGCCCCGTCAGCTGTAATCAATAGGGGGCAATCAACCACCCAATCCCCTCACGAGGCCAAACTTCAGAGCATGGACGAAAGTAAAGCCATGCTAACCTCGTGGGGTGAAAAAATGAAATTCGCCCAAACTTCCGCAGTTTCCAACCGAGCTGCCTCCATGCTGACGAAGATCGAAAGTTGCCGCCGTAGCAGACAACCCATTCCTTGGTACAGGTGTCTGCAATCACCATCGCCAGCATGTCTGCCTCCTCACCCTTGTTGTTGTTGTTGTTGTTGTTGTTGTTGTTGTTGTTGTTGTTGTTGTCGTTGTTGTTGTCGTTGTTGTTGTTGTTGTCGTTGTTGTTGTTGTTGTAGTTGTTGTTGTTGATTATAACGGAAGTTGTGTTCTCCAGCGCTGTCCGATCTGCCTCCTCAATCGCTCTGTGCAAACCACCGGGCGTCATAAGCATCCTCCCTACAAACCCTCCACTGAGCCACCCCCCATCGCGCTCATCCAACCCGGAGGACCAAGCCTCCATTATTTCACACGCATCTCGACCCTTGCGAAAAAGGGCTTTGCAGGCCGCCAACTCAGCCTCCGCCCTCCGCCAATAAGTGAAAGGTTCAAGCCCGGGATCTAGCTCCTCCTCCAGCTCCTCCAGCTCCCTGATTATATCTAACATGAGTTTTGAGCGGTGATCCACCCATTCGGCCAAAGAGAACGCACCCCCTTCATCCGCCTGCCGCTCCTGAGATCGCTGAGTCAGCTCACCCACTGTCTCCTGCAACTGCTGATGGGCCACCGCCAAGATGTCAAGCCATACCACCGCGTGTAGTTGTAGTATCCCCTCTGAATCCATCGCGCTTCTGATGAAAATAGTCAATACTCTGGTTGGCACTTCCCCTGTTGATGCCCAAACCTCACGCCCAGCGCGACTTCCTGATCGGAGTGGGATATGGGCCTGGAAGTGCGAAAAGGGGTGTGCCAAGGATTTTTGGGGAAGTGGGGGAGTCTTAAGGGTAGGAATGCAATTGGGCGAATAAGGGGCGCATGCGCGAGGGACTCAGGGTCCGATGGGGCCGGGGCACTGTGGGCGACGGTTTACGGGGAAATCCCTCCGAGGAGGAGGCGGTCACAAAAAGTTAGGCCGTCGGGGGCCGCCACATGGCGCGGGCTGCCTCGTACTTGGATTGGGCCCTCGGAAACTCCGGAGTTCTCCGTTCGCCGCTACGTCGGCAATTCACACAAAACGTACTGGGCCAATAGGGGGCTATGGCCGGCCACGGAACAACGCTGAGTTGATGATACAAGAAAAGAAAGCGGAAAGGAGGGAAACTGGTGGTGATGACAACAAATCCCGGGTGGGTGAAGTAATAGGTGTGGTCGATGGAAAGGAAATCAGCGCACCGAGGGTCGTTAGAGGTGGCGCAGTGGAATTCCCGCGGACATAGTCGATTCTCCGTGTGACAGGGGTATCGCAGCCTTATGAGTTCGTTTATCCAAGGGATGAAATAATCCGGGTCGTAAGATGAGTCTGAG